ACAGCTGAACTGCTGAACTAGCAGTCAGCTGAAGTGGCCTGCAGTACTGCACTCTATCCACTGCGCCACCTCGGCTTCTTAATAGAATGCATGAAGTAGTGGGGGAAGCATTAGCACTATTGTGGGTAATCACAGTTCCCTTTAAAAAGGCATAAAAACATTCCATAACCTGATTATGTAAAGAACAACCTGGCTGTCTTTGTTATTCTCAATCTCTTGCAAGTGCTCTTGCTCCCACTATATAAGCAGTGGAGGCCTCTTGTGGCCCTCCAGTTGCAAGCGGAGCTGATGGCAGACTCAGACAGTGAGGAGGTTGGGGAGGAACGTGGGCCAATGCTGGAGTCTGAGGAAGGATCTGATGAATGCTTTGCGTTGGATGCAGAGATAGAGGCAGGGCCATCCAACATTTCCCAGCCACCGGAGAGGCAGCTGCCTTTGGAGGCTGATATGAGTGAGGAGGAAGAACAGCTGGGGGCTGTTCCAGATGCATGCATACACAGAGCAGTTAGAAGAGGTGAGCAATGGAGGGCAAGGAGTCGACTCGGGAAGCAACGCATACATGGACACTGAATGGCCCCTTCCTGGCTGGGGAATAAATAGAAGGAAAAGGGAGTTGTTGTCGTAGGAGACAACAGTTCATATTTCTGAAGATTTTGCTCATTGTGTTTTGTGCCACAAAGACTGTTTGCCAGAACTTAATTTGCAACCTTTCGGCTGGGAGCTCATGGCCTTGCAATTATTGCAAGGAACTGATAAGGTTTGTAGTTAACTCCTTGAAGGACTATTGCCTGGACTTTTCAGTGGGTGAATGCAATTAATTCACAAGAGGTAAATAAAGAGGGGCTTTTTTGTGACAAGGAGTCTATTTTTTTGCTTTTGCTAAGACTGGATCAGAACAAGGCCCAGGATAATGGGACTAATGAAGACACAGCTCTTCTTTCTTTTTTTTAAAGATTTTTTTATTTTTGGTTAAACAGACAAACACAACACAAAAAAAATAAAATAAAATAATCTTTCGTTACATATTGTAGAAGTGTGTCAATTGGTTACAAATAACTTTCGTGAATCTCTTCCAGTTATTACTTATCATATCACATTATATATTTTAAATCAAAAATATTTATATATCTTACTATCAACATCCCACAATTCTCATTTGACTATAATTNTGTGACACCACGAGTTTGACATCCCTGATGTAGTACATTTTCATATAGCCCAATTACACTGTTTGAATGGGATTTGACATCAACAAAAGCTCTTTTCAAATTAAAACCAAATAGGAAAGAATAAATGGAAGCCTTGGACTATGTATTAGATCTGGGGCAACAGGCTGTATTCAATTACAGAATTCAGAGATTCTGAATTAGATAGGTCAGAGTTCCCTAATCTTTTGGGCTTTACGGACTGGGGGGGGAATTATTCTGCACAAGTGATGGGCAAGTGTGCATGCGCGCAGCTGCATTTGCTTGAGTGGCGGGCACATGTGCCCACCACTCACACAAATAGAGCATATGTGCAGATGCTTGACTGCTGCACACACAAATAGGGATGTGCATATGCTCATCCGCCCCTTCCACGGCTCGGTTCTGAACGGCTCAAGGCCCATTGGGCCATAACCTGGGGACACCTAATATAGTTCACCTATATAACGTATGCATTCTGACATGATGCTAAAACACAGTGATTGGTTTTGCCTTAGCCAATTGTGATGTGTGAATGTACTAATAAGTTGTAACATTCTATACCCATTCTAATATTATACTCTTTATTAAACAACACTATAAGTTGAATGAAAAAATACAGGTAGTCCTTGATTTACAACAGTTCATTTAGTGACCATTCAAAGTTACATCGCCCGTGAAATAAGTGACTTATGACCTTTTTCACATGACCTTTGCAGCATCCCTGGGGTCATGTCATCAAAATTCAGACGTTTGGCAAATGACACATATTTATACCAGTTGCAGTGTCCCAGGGTCATGTGATCACCTTTTGTGACCTCCTGACAAGCAAAGTCAATGAGGAAGTAAAATTCACTTAACAGTTGTGTTACTAACTTTACAACTGCAGTAATTAACTTAACTGTGGCAAGAAAGGTCATAAAATGGGGCAAAATTCACTTAACAAATGTCTCACTTAGTAACAGAAATCTTGGGCTCAATTGTGGTCATAAGTCAAGGACCACCTGTATGGTAGCTCGACAAATCTAAATTACCATATATAGAGAAATATAGCACTTATGGAATATGTAAGGCCTTTTTATTTAAGAACAGATCTCTTGAGTGCTAAAAAATAACAGCCACTATTTACTTTAAATGCAATCTGAATACCATTGCAGACATAGCGTACAAAGCACCCATAAACATGAAAAGGTACACACAGACTCATAAAATCTACCAGTTTAGCTATTAGCATTTCAACCTTACAGAACTGGATTGGACTGCCATTGTCTTTTAACAATTTAGCAATGCATCCACAGCATTTAAAAAAGGCAATACATTTTCAAATATATTAAGTTATCAGAATTAATCAAAAACAAACCTGTACATAGGGAACAAGAATGGGCCAAATTAAAAATGTAACCTGAAAAATAAGACCCTGTCCAATGAGAGAATCTACTTTTAGAAAGAAAAAACTTTTTAAAAGGCACATTTGGCAGCTACTGAAAGTTGCATACATCTGGTACAAGATTCATTTTTCATTTCAGCTGTCTAGATTACAAAGATCGTTTACTTTTACAGTACCTAATTCCTAAACTAATTTTGAATTCAAAGACAAAAGAATGGACTTCAACTTTGAAACCATACCCATAACTTATTTTAAAAAGCACCCTATGTTTTTGATTTTGAATCACAATCAGCAGTGATCTTACAATTTGCTTTATTTTAAAAAATACGGGAGTGATTATTAGTCATTTGAAAAGCAATTTATGACAATTGTATGAGTTAATTTTTATGACAGGCCAGCATCTGAACTAGGTCTTACAATGTGTTGAGAGAAGATCCCTGGAGTCAGTTAATTGAGCTTTCCTTGTTATTAAAAATAAAACTTCAGAAAAAGCCTTCCCTAATTAAAATTTTAGAAGAAGGATTTCATGCATGTATTTCTGTCCCCATTAGTGTGGTTTAATTTATGAGGGAACATTGATAGGCTACTTCCCCAAGCCATATTAAATGTAACAGGAACAGCCAACTCACTAACCCCTTTAGCAGAATTCCCACAGGTATCAATTCTATCTTCTCCTCTTGATGGTATTTTCAAGGAACTAGCGGGGAAAGTAGGCTACAGAATTCATGTGTGTATGCAGTGGATACTGGGTGTTGTGAAGTATTACAGAACAGAAGCTGCTGAATTACAAAGATGAAGTTTTCAATCAAAAACCCAATTCCAGGAAAAGCAGCCTGACTTAAAGATGGCAAAAGTGTACAAAAGCAAACACTACCATGCATAAAAATAACACACATTTATAGCATGCTTGATGAAACATTGCAATAGATTGCTTAGATTTGCAGGATTTCTTTCCTTTTTGTACTGATCATAGTAATGGTACATAAGTCTCAGATTTCCCTTCTGACAGTACATTTGGTGAAATAGCTTTCTCTGATCAGAAAAGTATACCTGTTCTTGAACTAGATAACAAGTACTTGCTTATATTAATTTTCTAACACCTTAACAATTTCATGGAAAAG